TCACGAGACGACCAAGGTCCCTATTTATGAAACCTATTGGAAGAAATGAATAAATTGATACTGTCCTCACAAGAAAATAATGAGAGGCCAGGTATGTGGCTCAGCGGGTGAAGCCGCCGTCTCTAGCGTCAGCATCCCATACGGGCACCTGTTTTGAGTCCTGGCTGCTCCACTTCTGATCCAGCTTCCTGCTAATTCTCCTGGGAAAATAGGGGAAGATGGACCAAGTGCTTGAGCCCCTGCACCCATGGGTGGAATCCCAGAAGGAACTTCTGGCTCCTAGCTTTGGTCTGGTCCAGACCTGGCCTTTGCAGCCATTTGGGGAGTGAACCAGGGGATGGAAGACGCCTCTCCCTCTCTCACTCTCTATCTTGCTCTCTCCCTGCAATTCTGCCTTTCAAAGAAATATATAAATAAATATATTTTTTTTTCATTTTTTTTTGACAGGCAGAGTGGACAGTGAGAGAGAGAGACAGAGAGAAAGGTCTTCCTTTGCCGTTGGTTCACCCTCCAATGGCCGCCGCTGCGGCCGGCGCACCGCGATGATCCGATGGCAGGAGCCAGGATCCAGGTGCTTTTCCTGGTCTCCCATGGGGTGCAGGGCCCAAGCACCTGGGCCATCCTCCACTGCACTCCCTGGCCACAGCAGAGAGCTGGCCTGGAAGAGGGGCAACCGGGACAGAATCCGGCGCCCCAACCGGGACTAGAACCCGGTGTGCCGGCGCCGCAAGGTGGAGGATTAGCCTATTGAGCCACGGCGCCAGCTTAATAGTCATTCTTTAAAACTCAGAAAGACGATGATCAGTTTTTTAAAAAGGGAAACCATCCACCAGCCCACTACTCAGAACTGATCATTGTTCACTTCTGCACTTCAGAGTGATCATGCCATGCAGGGTTTTGCCTCTTACCCATTTTGCATGAACTTTTTAAAGACCTTGCATATACCTGGATTTCACAATTATCTGCACCAAAATATGTACCAATACACACGTGGGTATATTTAGAATCAACCGTATCTACTCATTTGTAGCCTTTTTCCTTAAACAAAAAACCCCCACTTTTTTCACATAATAAAACATTCTGTGTTGATAGGCTAGAATTCTTTTCTCATGATTTTGGTTCACTTTTAAATATATTTAGTCACGTCAACATATTTCTTAGACTGCTTGATAATTCTGCTTTTGTTCTCAGAGTCTCAGTCTGAGAAAGTGCAGACAACCTAGAAGTCCAACAACATCTAAAACAAGGATTGCAATTGTGTTATTCGCTCACTCTTGCTCAGGTAGGACTGTATGTTTATACACCTCTAAGTTTTGCACTGGGCGCTCAAGTTTGGCAGGGCCTTCTGTGGGGGGAGCCATGGTTGGGTGTGTTCCCCTCCTAAGGGGTTTTACAACTGTATTTGCATTTTAGCTTTGCGAGGTGTTCCTGGTGATTATTGGGTCAGGATTACAAATTAAACTCCTTCCTTAGGTTGGGGGTTCTCGGACCACAATACATAGATGGTGTAACTATCTATTAATTAGATTTTTATTTGTTTATTTGAGAGGCATAGATACATGGAGAAAAGGAGAGAGCCCCTCTCCTTTGTTTCACTCCCCAAATGCCAGAAACTGGAAACTCAATGCAGGTCTCCCAAGTGGGTGGCACTAACCCGCCTATTTTAGCCATCATGGCTACCTCGCAGGGTCTGCTTTAGCGGAAGATGAAGTTAGGAACTGGAGAATGGGATCAAACCCAGGCACTGCAATGTAGGACATGGGTGTTCCAGCTGGCGTTTTAACTGCTAGGCCCAACATCTACCCCAGATGATTTTTTTTTTTTTTTTTTTTTGACAGGCAGAGTGGACAGTGAGAGAGAGAGACAGAGAGAGAAAGGTCTTCCTTTTGCCGTTGGTTCACTCTCCAATGGCCGCCGCTGCAGCCGGCGCACCGCGCTGATCCTGGCAGGAGCCAGGAGCCAGGTGCTTTTTCCTGGTCTCCCATGGGGTGCAGGGCCCAAGCACCTGGGCCATCCTCCACTGCACTCCTGGGCCACAGCAGAGAGCTGGCCTGGAAGAGGGGCAACCGGGACAGAATCCGGCGCCCCAACCGGGACTAGAACCCGGTGTGCCGGCGCCGCAAGGTGGAGGATTAGCCTATTGAGCCACGGCGCCGGCTACTACCCCAGATGATTTAAATTTAACCTCTAAAACTTAAAACAGCTGGTTAGTGGTTTTTTTTTTTTTAGATTTATTTATTTAACTGAAAGAGTTACTGAGAGAGTGGACGGGGAGAGACAGAGAGATGTTCCATCTACTGGTTCACTCCCCAAATGGCCACAACAGCTGGGCTGGGCCAGGTTGAAGCCAGGAGCCAGGAACTCCATCTGGATCTTCCACATGAGTGGCAGGGGCCCCAGGTACTTGGGTCAGCCTCTGCTGCTTTCCTAGGCCATTAGTAGGGAGCTGGACTGGAAATGGAGTAGCTGGGTACAAAGTGGTGCCCATATGGGATGCCAGCGCCGCCGGTGGCAGCTTGACCCACTACTCCAAGTGCCAGCCCTAGGTTAGTGATTTCAAATTTCTCCAGGCTACAGTAAAAATCCTTTAATCGTCTTCTGTGTTGTAGGTTTTTTTTTTTTTTCTGGTCTTGCTTTAAATGAAATTTACTTCTTTGGTTGGACAGGGGGTGGGGTTGTAGTTATTACCTTATTTTCAAGAACCTTCATGAAATACCCGTGTCATTTTATATGTTTGCTATTCTTTCGTGAGTGAACTTGATTTAGTTTCACTGCTACTGTTCATGTACTCTACAGTACTTTGGTGCCTGTTATATGTCAGGTCCTGTCTTATGCACTACAGGTACCACAAAGGAAAAGACAAAGCCTTTTCATAATAGAACCTATGTACAAGTATGAGACATTTGATATTAGAAATTTAGTTTAGACATTTTCCAGTTATAAACAATATGCAATGAATATAATTATGGGTAATTTTATCACACGTGATGAATCTTCAAGACTCTGAGATACATAGATTTTATAATTCAATAGGCCAAAGGTACACTAATCAGAGCTCAGGTTGTTCAAAACTCACCGTGTCTTAGTGACATAGGTTGACAGCAGCCTAAAGTACCCAGATTTGCTCCTCCAAGCTGCTCCACAGTACAGGAACATTATCAGGCCCTTAGAGAAAAGAGGAGTCAAAACCAAAGAATCATCGTATGCAAGTTCAAGTCGTGGATCACCAAGAGGGTTCTATTTTAAGTCAGGGTAGGATCATTTTGTAAGAGTAAGAAAAGAGCTACTGACTAGGACTCAGGTGACGGGGTTTCTAAAACACATTTCTACCTCTGACCAGCTATGGGATCGCCACTTCACAGCATTTGTTTGCTAATCTACAGAAGTGAAACGTCTTCCACCTGCCTAATAGACTGTTGTGAGGAATCAGCTAACCAGCCACAAAAAATGTGTGCTCCTCCTTCAAACTGTGGCTGTCGTCCTGGTAGCCAAAGCCTAGATCTCCCTCCTCCCTTGTAGCGAGGCAGGTAGGAGTCTGGGTCTAGTGGAAAGTGAGTGGAAGTGACATGGATCTCTTCAGGGCTGCTGTAGTTAAGAGACAGGGATGCCTTCTCCATCCTTTTTTTTTTTTTTTTTTTTCCCCTCTTCTCTGCTTGAAGACTCCCATTAGGTGCCATTAGGTGTGGCAGCTGGATCCTTCACCGTTACATGGAGAAAAGCCGCCCACAAACCTGAGACCGCTGCACTGGGCCATTTGTGCATGGGAAATAAACGTCCTGCATAGGAAGCCACTGGCATTTTGAATGTCACGTGCTGCAGCAGCTGGGGTTACCCTGGCTGATACGTCACAGGCCCGTGTGATCTCCAGAGCAGTGCAGCCACAAAAACGGGGCCCTGGGAGCGAAGTAAGGGGAATCCTGCAGACAGGAAAACGCTGAAATCATGGAAAGGCACATGGGCCCAAGACACTTTCTGGGTTTTTTTGGGGAGTTCATTGGGAAAGGAAAAAAATCTGGTATCTGAAGAATCTATCTGGCAGAAAATAGTTCTTTTTAAATTATAAATCAGTTAAGAATTTCCTTCCCTATAAAAAGTTCCTTTTACAGTCTCAGTAAAAAAGTCAAGGACGTCCATTGAAAAAATTAGAAAACCAGTCCAGCTAAATAGCAGCCCCCCACGACTGTATTCCCAGGGGAAGCAAGCTGTGACACAAAACCATCAGGGAAGAGCGAAAGTTCAGTCCTACTTCTTGGTTGCATAATTATGAGTCACTGATGACTAATCCTTGGATAGTTTTGGCTACAACCTATGTCCTAGCCAAGGGTGAAATATATTTAGCAAATGAGATTCAACAAAGTACTTACTAAGTACTGACTTTATGCAAGTTTCCGTAAGGAGCCCAAAAATGTGCAGAATGAAATTCCCTACCCTCAAGAACTGCAGCAGAAGACAGAAAACAAATAACTAACTTCACACAGGCAGTATGCGATATTTGGGTTGCAAAGCATTCTTTGAGAGAGCATTAAAGTATAATTCCTAGTTTAATAACCCGAGGGCCTATATGATGTTCTGTAATAAATATATTTAAAGTTAATACTTCTGGCTCTTACATAACTTGGGGAAGGTACAATATTTTGGGAGATTAAATGTTAAGTAAGGAGCTCTTCCCATATCTAGGAATTTATCCTAGGAAGGAAAAGATATGTAATAAGAATGTTAATCAAAAATTATGATAAATGGAACCATAAACAGCTGTTAACAAGAAATAAACAATGACATAACAGCCAAAAGTATATTTGTAGTAAAAGGGAAAGATAGTCAGAATATATTAAGTAAGAAAAGCAAGGGGGGTGTGGGTCAAAGGGTGCAAAGTCTCAGGATGAATGTTTGCAGGGTTCTGCTGAGTGGCAGATGACAATTAGTGGTGAGAATAATAAAAATATAACAATAATATCATATTGAGTACTTGAAAATTACTAAAAGATCTTAAATGTCCTAACCACAAAAAAAGCTAAGTTTGTGAGGATATTAATATGTTAATTAGCTTATTTACATTTCATAATATACACATGTATCAAAACATCATCTTCAACACCGTAAAGAGATACAGCTTTCATTTGTCAATGGTACTTTAATTAAGCTGGAGGAACAAAAAAGCAAATGATATTTGATTGGCTACCATGAGCTCATTAATTCACAAAGAAAGGCACACGCACACGCACACACACGTCCAAGTACACATCAGTGAGACGCGTACTTGTTGCTATCTTTCAAGTGACTGGAAGCACACACCACACTGCCAACAGCAACTCACTTAGGGGGGTGGGACGGAGACCAGAACTGAAAAGGAGCTTTGTGATATTTTACTTCATTCATTTCTATACTTAAGGCTTATTCACTTAGGTACTTTATTCATTTCTGAACTGGAAAAATGTTTAACCACGTGTACACGCTTCTTTGAAGATGAAAGAAAGTATGGTAAGACGCGAGTTCCTGGGCCCAGTGCTCAGTGAGCCTGTTTCTGGGGCACCGTTCACATAAACACCTCACCACATTCCCTGCGAGCCAAGGCAGTGAATCCATCCCTTTGGCATATTTCTTGGAGCCTGGGAACTGCAGGAACTGTGTGGCTGTAGTTATGACTACGGAGGAGGCGTGTGGCTCGCTGCGCTGGCCCTCTCGCTTTGCCCCATCTCTGGTACTGTATCCACCTAAGCCGCAGGGATTACCAGGGCCTGCTGACTCAGGAGCTGGTGGGCACAGAGCTCTTCAAGTTCTGTTTTAAAGTGCAAAGGCTAATAGAGAGGAAAGGTAACATGATAACATTTCATTTAGACATATTTAGATGAGTTAATGTTATATATTAATAACATTACATTTAAGTATAATAATTCATCTCATGTTTATTTTACTAAAACTATTAAATGATAGGGCAAGGTCCTTAAGATGAACCGTTTTTCTCTGAAACGTCTGTAATAAATGATTCACACGTGCTTCTCATTCTGTTCATCTTCCCAGAAGGAAGATTAATTTAAAAAGCACAGCAGCAAGACAGAAGCCAGTCTCGTCTCTTCGTGCCTGCGTGCACGTGGAGGAGGCCCGGTGGGGCGTGGGAGAGGCCTCTGTGAGGACGGAGTGGGCACAGGCAGTGTGCACCCCTGGAGACGGCTGGGAAACACCCAGCAGGACTTGCTGAGCCGTGTGTGCCCGGCTTCTGGAAGAATTCTTTTTCTTCCCTTTATTCAAAAATCAAGGCACAGCGTGAGAAGTCAGGCAGTTCCAGTTTTAAACATCTCTCCAAAGTGGTGTCAGAAAATACTCAGCTGCGGTTACAGAGAGAGCTCCCTAAGTGCAAGCTGTGGCCATTGCCCGGGTCTCAGAGACTAAGCCACGAACTATACAGCGCGACTGCGCTGCCCTGGAAAAGCCGTTCTCCACGGAGAATCAGAAAGGTTTCTGTTTCGCTGTACTCACTCTGGAATCTTTTGGGGGCACCTTCCTAGGCCTCAAGAATCAGCAGAAGTCAGGAAATTCCAAACGTTCAAGTTCAAACAGCTTCCCTTTCCTGGAGGAATTCTTGCTGCTTCTGCCACACTTCCCAGAATTCTCCTGCAGGTGCACTATGGGAAATGTAGTTTACTTCTCAAAGCCCGCTGCTAAACCCTCCAAAGCTAACAGCAGTTGCAACAGCTAGTTCTGCTTTTTATATAGATATACATACACAAACCAACCAGCCTGGTTCTCTCCAGAATCCTCCTGGATATGAACTCTGGGAATTGTAATTCAACTCCCAGCGTGCTGCTGTATCCTCCAGCTGCAAAGTTGTGGCTATCAAAAGCATGATCTTCTAATCTACGATCTTGTTACCAAAAGAACTACCGTGCTGTTGGAGAAAGCAGAGGAATATGAGATTCATTTTTAAATAACAAAATGATAGTCATTAAACCTACCTTCAAAACAAAAGGTATTTATTATGGGGGTGGGAAGCAAATACCTTTTTTTTAAAATTTTTTAAATTTATTTTTGACAGGCAGAGTGGACAGTGAGAGAGAGAGAGAGAGAGAGAGAGAGAAAGGTCTTCCTTTTGCCGTTGGTTCACCCTCCAATGGCCGCCGCGGCTGGTGCGCTGCAGCCGGCGCACCGCGCTGATCCGATGGCAGGAGCCAGGTACTTCTCCTGGTCTCCCATAGGGTGCAGGGCCCAAGCACTTGGGCCATCCTCCACTGCACTCCCTGGCCACGGCAGAGAGCTGGCCTGGAAGAGGGGCAACCGGGACAGAATCCGGCGCCCTGACCGGGACTAGAACCTGGTGTGCAGGCGCCGCTAGGCGGATAACCTTTCTGTGTTCCTAGTTCTGTTTCCATCCACCTGCTGTAAAACCAGCTCAGACATTTCCTAAACATCTGAAGGTTAGGACTTTGTCTAGATACGTTTGAGTTTTATGGGAGAATCCATGATCAAGCAGGAAACTAGCATTCTATGGGACCGAAAGCAATGTTATCCTGTGTTAAAGGCACAGGATACAGCAGGGAGCAAACCATTAAAATCTCTGTCTTCATGTATCTTATATTCTATGGGAGAAAACAAACACATGAATGTGGTTTCAAGTGCTAGGGAGAAAATAAAATTAAGTGGAGGGATGATTTTGTTAGGCTATTCAGCTTCTGAAGGAGGTGATGGAGGAAGCCATGTGGGTATCTAGAGGAAGAAATTTTTAGACAGAAGCAAATGAGCACATGAAGGGCCTCAGGGCAAGAATATGCCTGCAGTTTTGAGGAAAGACTAGGACAGGGTATGGCAAGTAGAGCTTGTGTCAAACAGTACCCAGACATCAGACCACATAGGCCCTTACAAGGCTTAAAATTCTTATAAAGCCATTGTACTGCGTTTGGCTTTTATTCTGAGAGAGATGTCACAAAGAGTTTGATCAGGACAGTGAATGATGTGACTTAGAATTTTTACAAAAAACCCTCTGTGTGGAGGTTGGGCTGTAGGGGACAAGGGTTATGAAATCCTGTCTGTGCTGGTATGCACTGGATTACGAGGGAAGGAAGGGCAGACGTGCAGAGTTGGCCAGCCCTTTTTTTTGGACCTCTCCCACTGAGACAGAAACTGAAGCTTTTTATCAGCTTGATTCATCATCTGCAAGAAAACAGAAAACTTGAGAGAAGCAAGATACAAAATTAATGAAACCCAAAGAGATGGGGAAGCCTGCTTCAGGGAGATGTTGGTCTCTAACCACTACTAAAAATCAAAATATTTAATTTTGAGGAATTGTCTTAGTGCTATAATACTAATAGCTAAGACAGCGTTTACTGTGCTCCAGGCACTATGCTAGGTGTCTCAATTTTATCATTAATCTTCACATTCTGTGAGTTATGTATTATTATTTACATTTGACAGATGAAAAAACGGAGGCTGGGCCGGCGCCACGGCTCAATAGGCTAATCCTCCACCTGCAGCGTCGGCACCTGGGTTCTAGTCCTGGTCGGGGCGCCAGATTCTGTCCCGGTTGCCCCTCTTCCAGGCCAGCTCTCTGCTGTGGCCAGGGAGTGCAGTGGAGGATGGCCCAAGTACTTGGGCCCTGCACCCCATGGGAGACCAGGAGAAGCACCTGGCTCCTGGCTTCAGATCAGCGCGGTGCGCCGGCCGCAGCGGCCATTGGAGGGTGAACCAACGGTAAAAGGAAGACCTTTTCTCTATCTCTCTCTCTCTCACTGTCCACTCTGCCTGTCAAAAATAAATAAATAAATAAATAAATAAAAGAAATTTGTATGTGAATTTTCATAGCAGCATTGTTCAAAATAGCCAAAAAGTAGGAACAAAATCCTTCTCTGATAAATGGATAAGCAAAATGTGATATAGCCAAATGGTGGTATTTTATTCAGCAATGAAAAGGAGTGAAGTAATGGTGTATATTGCTAATCATGGGTGAATCTTGAAAACGATATGCTAAGTGAAACGCTCTGGTTAAATAAGAGCACCTATTGCATTTATATAAAATGTTCAGAATAGACAAACATATAGAGACAAAGTTGATTAATGGTTGCCTAAGGTTAGGAGCAATTTATATGAAATGCATCTAGGGATACAATTACGTTTATATGAAATGTTCAGAATAGGCAAATCTATGTGGCAAAAAGGTGGGTCAGTGCTTGGTCAGAGGTGAGGGTGGGGAACATTTTGGAGAAAATGTGGAGTTAACTTCTTTTGGGAAAGAGATTTCTCTCTCTCTCTCTCTCAAGAATTATTTATTTATTTGGAAGTTATAGAGAGGCAGAGAAAGAGAGAGAGGGAGGTCTTCCATCCTCTGGTTCTCCCCCTGATGGCCACGATAGCTGGAGTTGATCCGAAGCCAGGAGCCAGGAGCTTCTTCTGGGTTTCCCACGTGGGTGCAGGGGCCCAAAGACCTGGGCCATCTTCTACTGCTTTCCCAGGCCACAGCAGAGAGCTAGGTCAGAAGCGGAGCAGCCGGGACTCAAAGCAGCACCCATATGGGATGCTGGCACTACAGGCAACAGCTTTACTGGCTTTGCTACCTTGCTGGCCCCTCTTTCTCTCTTTAGAGTAATGAAAATATTTTAAAATTGATTGTGCTAATGGTTGCACAATTCTGTGAACCTACTAAAGATCATTAAATTGCATACTTTAAATGGGTGATTTGCATGTTATTTCAACTCAATAAAGTTGTTAAAAATATTCAACCAAATCATTAATGGTATTAAGCAATTATACTGCATGGTTAGTAAACACAAAAATATGGTATTTATAGCCACAATTATTTTTAGGTAAGGAAGTAAAAATTGTCTTTCCTCAGAAATGCTTAGCTTTGAGGTAATAGAAATTGCTTAATTATATAATATATTAACACTCCTTTTAGGGTACAAATTGAGCTTCAAGCCACTGAGTCCCAGCCTGGCCTCTTGGTGGTAAAATTGGTGTTCAGTGTATTTAAAAATATGTATTTATTCACTCATTAAACAGATACTTATGGCAAAGCTATCTGTGCGAGGCACACGCTAGACGTGGGGATTTAATGGTGAATGTTGTTGTTTCTGCCATCCAGCGGTAGTTGTGCCCGTACGTGTGTGCGCACAAGTGAGTGTTTACTCGGCCCATTTACTCGGTCTCTAGTTACAGGAATGGTCATTAGATGTGTGGAATATGTAGCAAGCGTGCACATAAACTGAAAATTCATTCTGTATGTAGGCTTTCAGTTGGATATTGTCTTCAGGTGCAACAGGAAATCTGAGGGTATGTCAAAAGGTTTCTGAAAAATGGAATTAAGAGAGAAGTTTATTTTGGCACAACTTTTAAAAATCATTTATTTATTTTTTTTTTTTTGCAAGGTAGAGTTAGAGAGAGAGAGAGATCTCCTGATTCGATCCCCAAATGGCCACAACAACCACAGCTGGACAGGTTCAAAGCCAGGGGCCAGGAGTTTCTTCCAGGTCTCCCACATAGGTGCAGGGGCCTAAGTAGTTGGGTCACCCTCCACTGCTTTTCTAGGGACAAAAGCAGAGAGCTAGATCGGAAGTGGAGCAGCTAGGACTTGAACCGCACCCATATGGGATGCCAGCACCAAAGGCAGCAGCTTTACCTGCTATACCACAGAGCTGGCCTCTTGGTGAAAAATTTTTGAAACCCATGCATATGAGGTATCTGAAAAGTTCATGAAAATGTGTATTATGAGAAACTGTGCATAGATTTCAATTAAAAAATTTTTTTTATTTGAAAGGCAGAGTTACAGAGGTAGAAACAGAGAGAGAAGTCTTCCATCTGCTGGTTCACTCCCCAAATGGCTGCAACATCAGGGCTGGGCCAGGCTGAAGCCTGGATCCAGGAGCTTCTGGGTCTCCTCTCTGGGTGCAGGGGCCCAAGCACTTGGGCCATCCTCTGCTGCTTCCCAGGCACATTAGCAAGGAACAAGATCAGAAGTGGAGCAAGGCCAGCGCCGAGGCTCACTAGGCTAATCCTCCGCCTTGCGGCGCCAGCACACCAGGTTCTAGTCCTGGTCGGGGCGCCGGATTCTTTCCTGGTTGCCCCTCTTTCAGGCCAGCTCTCTGCTGTGCCAGGGAGTGCAGTGGAGGATGGCCCAAGTGCTTGGGTCCTGCACTCCATGGGAGACCAGGAGAAGCACCTGGCTCCTGCCTTCGGATCAGTGTGGTGCGCCGGCCGCAGCGGCCATTGGAAGGTGAACCAACGGCAAAAGGAAGACGACCTTTCTCTCTGTCTCTCTCACTGTCCATCCACTCTGCCTGTCAAAAAAAAAAAAAAAAAAAAAAAAAAAAAAAAAGAAGAAGAAGAAGAAGTGGAGCAGCCAGGACTCTGCCTGGTGCCCATATGGGATGCATGCATTGCAGGCCGGAGCTTTGCAGGCAGGCTGGAGCTTTAACGCACTGTGCCACAGCGCCAGCCCTGTTTTCAATTTGTGTGTGTGTGTGTGTGTGTGTGTGTGTGTGTGGTGATGGCAGAAGACAAAAGCACAGTGGAAATATGCAACTCTCTGCTTGTATGGCAACCAAAGCATATGATATAGTCAGACCTAGAGTTATAGTGGGAGGGTATCATACAGTTACTCGAAAAAGGGTATGGCAAGGAGTCCGGGTGAACTACAGAGCTAGAGTCCCCACCAGAGAGCATTCT